AAATTTTAAGCGCGTTGACTTGTGTTCTGGTGTCAAGAGATGCGGTATCCATCGTGCACATATTTTACGTAGGTTGAAGTGCTTGGTCAAAATTTCATGTACCTTTGCTGATGAGATCTCAACAACACTAGCGAGATATTTTAAACTACATCTGCCATCCTTTTTCTTAACTGCAACCATGTATCCATCAGTAACAGCTGTCTTTGGTCGCCCTGGCCTTGAGGAATCTTTAACAACCTCTGGGCCATTTTTGGACTTTAATTTTTCAACCAGCTTAATGAAACGGAAGAATCTCCATAAATCAGACAAATTTGACTTAAAATGACTTTTGCAGGTATATCAAGAATGCCTCGCGTATATAGAGGAAAATAAAACAAACATGATTTTAAACATGTTTAATATATATATATATATCTATATCTATCTATCTATCTATTTATCTATCTATATATATATATATATATATATATATATATATATATATATATATATATATATATATATATATATATATATATATATATATATATATATATATGCAATTTTGGTCGTGGCATCCTTAACGAGGTTGGATCCTGATATTTAAAGTCTTAAACTTTTTTTGTCAAGTATATTTTTAGTTTCTACACATATAGCTTAATTAAAAATCAAAACAAAAAATGGGGGTCAATACGCTTCTTTTGGCGCTGCAGTACATTTAATATGACCTTTTTGCACTGAAATTTGTGTCTTAATCAAAAATCACATCTTCGACGTTTTCCCTCCAAAGTTTTTATCCAAATAAATCATGGGACAAATTAAACTTTTAGTCTATTTAAAAAAAGACACTTCAAAATTGTGACTAAGAAAAAGTTTCAAATTGCTTCGCATAATCAATTATTTGACCTTTCTGCACTCAAAAAATGTGATTTTTCTGACATTAAAAATTTAATAAGCAAGAAAATTATTTTAAAGTCTTAAACTTTTTCTGAATTTAGGCAGATTGATCAAAGTTATCTTATATATTCAGAAAATAAAAACAAAAGTGGGGGTCTATGATGTAAATTTTTAGATATTACTAAAAAAGTGTTAATTTTATGTTAAAATTGGCTAAATTTTCTCCTGGACTTTCAGAATATATTTACTATATTTGTCACAATATAATGAAAGAATACATAAGAAATAATTTAATAGATATTTCAGAACCAGCATAAAAACATTTCACTGCAAAAAACAGCTCTGTGTGCAACCAGCGTGGAAAAATAGGAATCTAAACTTAACAGTACTGTATATATTTCAAAAGGAGACAAAATGAACATTTTCTCCTAAAAAACCTTCCGCCACAAAATTTAGTTCCTGGCTTAATCCTCTTCGAATGGAATTTAATCGTGTTTTTTTCATTGGATATAGTTTAATTTGCATTGTAGAATTCAGATTTAATGTTTGAACTTAAAAATGACGCAGAATTTTATAAATAAATGTCCAGACCAAAATCTGCTCAAAAGCTCAGGATCGAACCTCCTTAAAATGAAAGGGTCTCCAAGCATACAGGACGACCCCAAGTTAATTACAACAAGCAGCAGCAGCAAATAACATGAGAGCACAATTATACATTTACTATTAATAAGCATAATATTGGCCGTTCCAGGTACTTGTATACCGCGAACGGTAATTACAATTATATTGTATGTATTTTACTTAACCTTTACATGTACATGTATGTAGTCATCGTTCCGAGTTAACCGCGAACGTTACTAAAAATAGTTTAGCAAGCAAAGCAGTGCATGAATTTGTTGAAAGCAGCACACATTTTCACAGTAAATGAGTTTGGTTTACAATAAATCAGTTGAATGGTTCGGCGCAAACGCCACATGGCCGAAACCTTTGGAAACCACGACCAACAGCCCTAAATTTATCCTATTTACTGGGTAAACTGACTTAAACACTTTAAATTTTCTCAAGACCCCCTCCCCCTAAATTGAATGACTTTAAGAAATTAAATAGTCAGAATATGTGCTTTTTGCTTTAATTGATGTTTTAAATATGTAAGTTTATGATGAATTAAGCAACAGATTTTACATTAGATTATCCTTGGATTATTTTATAGCAAATACAGGTTTATGTAATTATGTTAAAAATAGGTGTTAAAATGCATTGGACAGTGGATTATATTGGGTATTTTTTGCCCTCAATTAAATTATGTTATTGTATTTTGTAATAGGTCAGCTTTTTAGAGAATTAAGTCTGGCCTATAGTGCTTTCATGTATGTATTTTACACAAATTGATGAATCATCAAATGTTTTTCTCCACACAGTGAATCAAAATTAAATTTTCAATTTTTTTTTTATGCTTGGTAAGCCCTGTAAAATTTTTCTTCGTTTAGGATTAAATAAATACTTTAAAGCAGAATTTAAGGCAGAATAACCTTTTTCACCATATTTTTATTCCATTTCCATCAGTTCTTAACTCTATTTTAATTATTGCTTTTCCACCAAAATAATCTTCATAACTGAGGTGTTTACACACCATAAACTTGACCCTTCCAGATACTTAACTACATGTACAGTTCCGGGAATACAGAACTTCCACATCAACTTGTTGCCTTCTAATGTCCTTAGAGACTCATAAATCATTATATAATGTTCCTTCATTACCTAGATCTATGATAGAATCAGGACAGACATCACTAATAAACGACACAGAGCAACCCCTTCGTTTCTCCCTATCTTACTGGATTGCAAGAATAGTTTACTTTTTCTTGTAGTCATAAGAAATATGAACTATTGTGTAGACATTGCATGACACTGCATTATTCTCAAATTTAAAAATTGTCCTGTGGTGGCGTCTCCATATGAGTGAAAAATTCTCGAGAGGGACGTTAAACAACAAACAAACAATCAAAACATAAAAATTACTAATTAAAAAAAACTTAATTTATAATTTGAACAAGTTTCCAGCTAAAAAGTACTGTTAAAATAATTATGCAAACCATGTGAACTTTTGTCATATGTCATGTTGTAAATTTTGACTATACCGGGTGGCAGTAAATACAAAATTTACAAAATGACACACGCATTTAAGCTTATAGCTGTCAATTAGAATATTGCTGTTGATTCTGCATAATAAATGGAGGAACGTAATATAACTAAGGAAAAAAATGACAAATGCTTTAATTGAAATTCCTTGTCCATAAACAATTGTTTTGTATCTTCCTACAGTTATGTTTCTGACAGTTTCCCTGACTGAAGCTACAGTAGCCACTTTGTGAAATTCCAATGGACTGTATCTGGTGTATCAAAATTGGTACCATTTATGATTTACGTTAAGAAGTTTCTACCCACTGACTCTTATAACCCAGGGTCCTCCATCATTTTGTTGAATATAGAATCAGCAAAAAATTTACTCTTCTATTTATGTCTTGAATAAATTCCATATAACATGTTTAAGTTTAGACGTCTGATCACAATACTTAATACCAAGGAAAATTGCCAATGTGAAATGTCACCTTCAAATGGCTATCTCTATGTATCTTAAACAGTTGGAGCTGATGAAATCAACTCCCAAAATTAAAGTCCTTAAAAATTGCCTTCTGGTTTATAGTTAAATAGCTACTTGTTGAAAAAAGATTGAAACAAAAAGATATGCCTTTAGTCTTACCTTTAAAATAACCATACAACCTGTACAATCAGTTTAAAGTTATAATGCATATGTGTACTTGACTTAGCCTACACTAAACCTTAAAAATAATAAATCTTACTGAAACTTTGAAGAAATACATGTAGATAGCCTAAACCTGGTATTTTTTTTCATGATGGACGAATGAGTGATGAAGCACTCCATGCATAATACACTCTTATATTGAAGACCCTATCCAATATATACTTTCCCCACAGAATTCATTATTTTCAACCTTAAGTCACACACTACGTAATTCTCCTACGATAATATTCTTTTTATTCTATTTATTTTATTATTTATATTTTTATGAATGAGTTGCATGTTTCTCGCCATTTTATGAGTTCTGAATTAGTATATCCAATGTTTCTGTAATATTTTAAACCCAAGCAAGAGTTTTTGTCTTCTAATCTGATGGACGTTCATAGTAGCTCAGTCGGTAGAGCGTTCGCTTCGTGATCGGGAGGTCCTGAGTTCGAATCTCGGCCGCGACTGACCTAAGTCGATAAAAAAGGGTAGCAACTGTTCCTTCGCCATGCGCTCGGCACTTTGAAGTGAAAGTTGCGGGTCCTTCGGATGAGATCTTAAAAACCGAGGCCCCGTGTCACTAACTGAACGTCCACACTGCACTTCACTAATCACAAAACAACAACAACAGTATATGCATTGTAGCGCATTGTAAGAGGACGCTAGGATTTATTTCTCACAGCAAACAGAGCAGTACTATTATATGGTAAAATGTAAACCCAACTATGCTTCCCTCGCCGCCCAGGAAAAACCATAGATAAAAATTCACAATTTTGTGTGTAAAAAACTATGGAAACCTGTAAGTCCGCAGCAATTGCGAGGTAAACAAAATGAATGGCGGACTCATTCTTACAAACCTATGTATAATTATGTAAATTTTAAAAAAAAAAAAATCAAAATGCTAAAATTAGACTTGCTCGGGCAGAGCGTGCGCTAGAATCTGAGCTCTATCACTACAAGAAAACTATTCAAACACGTCATTTCCAAAATCTTATTTCATTGGCTGTTACCCAGTATACAAATGCTACTAATACATAAAAGAGACTTCCGTTTCTGTACACACAATTTGTTTACATGTCGTTAGGACAACTATTTCTCGCTATACTATCGTAACGCGAGAAATTATAAGTCCACACTGCACTTCACTAATCACAGAACAACAACAACAGTATATGCATTGTAGCGCATTGTAAGAGGACGCTAGAAAATTACCAAAGAAAGGGAGAGAAAGACGGGGGAATTAACAAATTATATAAACCTAATTTTTTGGATACTTGAAGCCTCTTAACAACTGAATCTTTTATATAAATATTTTTACTTGAAACACATTTCCAACGACCGTGTCTTTGTATACATCTTTCGTCAACATTTGAATTGGCTGCAACAGAAGCACCACCTGACCTAAGTGAGTGAATTCCAATATTTAAATTCGGAGCCACAGATTTCAACATACTTACAATGTTTTCTTTTGCTGCTGTGTAACTAATGGGTTTATTTTTATTTATCAACTTTGCAACACCTTTGCTTCTGAACACTGGCTTAAAAATAAAATCGGAAGACAACAAATTAATATTTGCTGCATATACATAACGCAAAAACATATTGTATGGACAAGCGCATATAACATCCTTAGCTATTAACACTTCGTTACCTTCTCTCAACTGATCATTTTTACTTTTTTCAATAAAAAGCTTTAAATAATCATCTCCAACCAAAATATTGCTACATTTTAAAGAGCTAATCTCGTCGAATCTCAAAAACCCTGCAAATCCTAACAGTATCATTGCTAAATTTCTTAAAATTAAAACATCGTCTGTGTCTTTATGCAATGAACATAAACTCTGCAACATATCGTTGTCGATGGGATCTTTCCTACGCACAGGTTTTGCAGCTAATCTTTTTGCCGATTCTTGAAGTGATTTTACAAACGAATTTTCTGTGGGATCATCCAAACCGCATAAACTGTGCATCCATTTGATCGAATAAATTGTAGAATTCACGGTGGAATAAGATGCACCATTATCCAATAAATGGGTTATATATAACGCAACACGCACAGGTTTTGCTGGAATTTCACTGTAACTATGATCGCTGATAAACTTCTTCCATCGCTGAAAACTGTTTGTATATTACGCTTTATTTGTATTTTCACTTTTGGAAAACAGAAGATACTTTGACATGTGGTTGCTAAGGTTTCCCAGTTTACTTGTCAAAGGGACACCACTATCTTGTACTGCTCTGTTTACAAACGACTGCAATTTTAATCCTAAAATCAATAAAAAAATTTAAATCACTCATATGTACATATACCATGTGCATGAAATACATGTCAACCTTTCCGTCAACCTTTCCATTTTTTTTTTTTTTTTTAAATAATTAAAATCTAATTTTTAGTGCTACCATTTTGAAATCCAGAGGAAACTTGGCAAATACTGATTTTTTTACTTTTACCGCAAGTTATTAGCTTTTTCTCTGGTAAATATTCCCAAGACTGAACAAAACTTTTAAATTTTTTACCATCAAACAACATCGGCCAGAATGGAGATGATTTCCATTCTGGAATAATCAAAGTTGCCTTTGCTTTGTCTGAAACAAATTTGTTTATAACTTTTAAAATTAAATTTGGAGGAGGAACCAACCAATTGTTTTCCTCTGTCCAACAAGCGTTAAAAGCGTTTATACTTTCTGTGCCTGGACACCAATACTTTGAATTAAATCTAATGCATTTTCTGTTGTAATGTGTGGCAAACCTGTCAATTGTATGCACACCCCACAGTTTTTCATAATAATAAAAAATTTCATCATCAATTGACCAATCATCCATATCTGTCAAACGACTCAAACTGTCCGCTTTTTTATTTTCTGCCCTGGGCTTCCAAAGAGGATTTATTTGAATATTGTTTTCTGAACAAGTATTAAAAATTTCATCAGCAATATTTTGCAAGTAAGGTTTTCTACTACCAACTTGTAAAATCCCAGAAACATTTTTGTTATCTGAAATAATTTTGATGTTTTCATTGGCTAAATGTAAAATATTACTCTTGACAACCCTCTTAACAGCTTCTAGCTCTCTCCATGTTGAACTATACTGACTTTCATTTTCTGTCCAACTGCCAGACACACTTCCGATACTGATTTTTTCGTTGTCATCCGACATACATTCAATAAAACCACCATAGCCTACATCCGAGGCATCACAAAATAAATGAAAATTGCATACATCTGATGCGTCAAAGCTTTCAATAAGACAACCATTTTTGTTCAAAGAATTTAAACTTTCCCGCCAAAATTCAATTTCATTTAAAGCATTAGCGGACATTTTTACCTTTGAGTTCCAACTTGCTCTGCTCATTATGCAATCATACAAATGTCTTGTTTTCAGTCTGGCAATATTTCCAATAACTGCCTTCATTGAAATAATCTGGCCCACAATTTTTGCCAATTCTTTAACTTGGAAGAAAGCACTTTTCATAACTTTCAAATGAACAATGTTTAAACATTTTTAAGACGCTCAATCCTGTCTTCTGTAATAAAAATTTTACCTTTTGTCATATCCCAGAACAATCCTAACCATATTCGGTCTTGGGTAGGATGCCATTCACATTTATCTTCAGCAAACAAAAATCCTAGCTTTTCAAAATGTTTCTTAACGTAAATGCTAACATATTTTGCGCTATCTAAACAAGATTCAGCTCCAATACCATCATCTAAAAAAGTAATGATTCTCATACCTTTTGCTCTCAAAAACTTAATAGGTTCTCTCAGAACTTTCGTAAATATATAGCCTGCAGTAGATATACCGAAAGGTAAAACATTAAAAACATAATAATGAATTTTCCCATCGACTTCCCATGAAAACCCTAGAAAATCTCTGTGATCATTGAAAATCTCAATATGATGATAAGCGGATTTAAGATCAAATGTGAAAATAAAATCCCCCTTTTTAACATTTCTTTAGCTACTGAAGCATCTTCATATCTGTACTTAAATTTATGTAAATGTAGATTTATGTCTGCAGTCAAGTACTAGGCGTGGCTTACCGTTTCTGTTTCTCGCGACAGTCAGTGGGTTGACAACTTTAGGAATATTACAAACCTTTGAAATACACCCCTTCTTTAATAGATTTTCTATTTCTTTTGTCACAAATTCTTTGTCATTCAATGCTGACCTATTATTACGTAATACTACCAATGGTGGTTCAGTTTTGAATGGAATTCTATAACCTACCTTGATCAATTGAACAATGCTTTCATTCGCTCCCATAGCTTCCCATTCACTCACCTGTGACCTCAAACGCCCAACCGGACTAATAATTTTTAAAAAAATTTCGTCAACTTTTGGATAAATTTCATTTTCAAATTCGCTAACTATTGCATTGAAATTTTCACTTATTCTCTTCTTTTCTTGGGCAGTCCCGGCTCCAATGGCCCTTCGCCCCACAGTCATAGCATCTGCCTGGCTTGCTTGTAGAATTCTTTTCATCCGTCTCCATGCGAGAAAAAGTTTCTGCAGGTGGCCTCTTGAAGTAAGGTGCAAATCTGTAAGATCTTCTTTTCAAATATCTGTCCTCTTTGGCCTTCCGTTCTGCTCTCATTGTGGCTCGATACATTTTCTTTTCATCGTCGGAGTCGGCCGCAATAGGATTAGTTTCGTATTCTTTTACTACTTTCCATCCTAACTGAGACGTGTCTGCTAACTTTATAAGCTTTTGTCTATTCTTTACTAACTCAATACCTTCTGTGATGCTAGATTTGGCTGACTCAATATTTTCTTCGTTTACCGTGGCTGAACTAAGATGCTCGTTTGCTTCTTTTAGTTTTGATAGCACACGCGCCTCATGCTTGTATTGATTTTCATTGCCTTTCTTCCGGAAAACGTAATGGTCGCTGAGATTCTCTTCGATTCTGTTTATCTGCGAAGTTGAGATTTGTTGAATATTCTGCTGAAAATTCGAGAGCTTAGAGTCTATCATGGTCTGCAAACTGTTCAATAAATCTGCTTGCTGTCTAGAAACTGCTAAATTGACTTCTTCCGAAATAGTTTGAGCAAACTCCATTCTCCTAGCGTCCATCCCGCAAAAATTAGACTTGCTCGGGCAGAGCGTGCGCTAGAAACTGAGCTCTATCACTACAAGAAAACTATTCAAACACGTCATTTCCAAAATCTAATTTCATTGGCTGTTACCCAGTATACAAATGCTACTAATAAATAAAAGAGACTTCCGTTTCTGTACACACAATTTGTTTACATGTCGTTAGGACAACTATTTCTCGCTATACTATCGTAACGCGAGAAATTATAATTTTTAGCAATATATTCTTTTATTTGGCAAGTAAATCACCTTTATCTAGGTAACCTGTCAGATGAAATGCATGGGGATACCGAACAGTATTCAAGCTCAAAAGTCCATTAAACAATACAAATATTGGAGCAAAGCAAACACGGGTACGGACCCTTAAAACATCAGAGGTGGGATCAGGTGCCATGGAGGAGTGAGCATCCCCTGCTGACCGGTCACACCCGCCGTGTGCTTCGTGTCATGATCGGATAATAACGGGAAAATCCGTCGACAATTCAGTGTGTAAATAATGGCCGAACAATTAGTATGAAAAACGTCAGTCAGCATTTGACTTAATGATAAATTGTATTTGCTGACAAGGTCATTGTATCGACCATAGATCTTACGAAATGATGACTTTAAACTGGACTGCTGATATTCTTGTTTCATTAACTTGTTTGTCAGAAGCAGAGAATTAGAGTTATTAATAAATATTACACGATTCACAAATGATTACTATTTCTTGGTCACATAGAACACCTACAAACTTTAAATACTTACTCATAGCTAAAAGAATAAAATTTTTATGCCCCCGGATCGAAAGACCCCGAGGGTATATTGTTTTTGTCCTGTCTGTCTGTTTGTCTGTCTGTTGTCAACTTTAACCTTGCCCATAACTTTTGATTGGCTGGAGCTATGACTTTCATATTTCACATGTGTATTCCTTGTGACAAGACCTTTCTTTGGGTACCATCATATTTGACCTTTTGACCTTAGAGTTTGACCCACTTTTGCAAAATTTAATGAGACTTTAACCTTGGCCATAACTTCTGAACAGTTGGTGCTTGGGGTTTCAGACTTCACATGTGTATTTCCTGTGACAAGACCTTCCTTCATATACCAACAACTTTGACCTTCTGACCTTGACCTTCGAGTTTGACCTATTTTTGAAAAACTTTGACCTTGGCCATAACTTTGAACAGTTGGTGCTTGGGGTTTCAAACTTCACATGTGTATTTCCTGTGACAAGACCTTCCTCTGGATATCCATCTCTTTGACGCTTTGACCTTGACCTAGGAGTTTGACCTACTTTTGAAAAACTTTAACCTTGGCCATAACTTTTGAATGGTTAATGATAGGGCTTTCATACTTCACAGATGTAATCCTTGTGACTTCGCTTTCCTTTGGATACCAACAACTTTGTCCTTGACCTTGACGTTTTACTTACTTTTAAAAAACTTTAACCTTCGCCATAACTTTTGAGCATTTGCAGCTAGGGTTTTCAAATTTCACAGGTATATTCCTCGAGACAAGACCTTTCTTTGGGTACCAACATTTTTTATCTTTTGGTCTGGATTTTGACTTGCATTTGAGAAACTTTAACCTTCTCCATAAGCTGCCATACGGGGGCATCAGCTCCAACCAATCAAAAGTTATGGGCAATGTTAAAGTTGAAAACAGACAGACAGGACAAAAACAATACACACCCGGGATATTTCGATTCGGGAGCATAAAAACACAAATTAATAAATATTCCAAAAATGTGTCTGCATGTACAACATAACAAAGTTTCAATAGGGACTAAGCCAGATGCTGACGTGGGAATTTTGCAATCCAAGCCAATCGTGCGTTATCTCGAAAAAAGAATAATCCATCGATGGGTCTAATCATCAAAATAGATATTTGTTCATACTATTTTATGAAATTATTTTAGAAAAAATATGATTGAAAGTATATTGTTTCAAAATTCTGTCTGCAACAAAATTCGTGTTCCTTTTGTTTTTAGATCGAAAGAGAAAGAATTTGAGATATTCTGACCCCGATCTAATTTGTTTTCTAGCTACCCCAACTCAAATAGCAGAACAAAGTTTTCCTCATAAAATAAGCGCATCTAATTTTTTTTCAAATCAAAAGATGCTCTTAACGTAAAATAGATTAAAAAATTGAGATAAGCTTTCCTGAAAAAAAAAAAAAAAAAGTTACGCACCCTTTTGTATTAAAGAAAGAGGATCGGGGGTCATATCGCTGATCTCAGCATTAATAGCAAACTAACTATATGTACTTTGGCCAAAGTAGCTTCATAAAAGTAAATACAATACAATACAAATTAAACAAGCTAATTCAGAAATTTTTTTTCCACCGCTTAAGGAAAAAGAAGAGCATGCACAGTAGGATCCCCCCCCCCCCCCTGGATTTGTAGAATTATTAAATGTATACATGTATATTGAAGCAAATAAAAAATGCCACTATGGATATAAAGATTTGATTGCTTATTCTTTAATATGTGTATAGGAGAGTCTTTTTATATAGAATATTTATCACACTGTAATAGTAATTTTATGAGTTTGTACAAGCCGGACGTCATAACTTTTCCATTTCACATGCTGAATACTATCATTTAGTAAATCAAAAAAAAAAAAAAAAAAAAAAAAAAAAAAAAAAAAAGAATTAAAAAAAAAAGAAAAAAAAGAGGATCGTCCTGGATTTGAACCCGGTACCTCTCACATGCTAAGCGAGAGTCATACCCCTAGACCACTGAGGCACTTGACTTAATAGCAAATTAAATGCAAACATTAAGTCACATATAATGTTTATATTCACGTTCGTTTTACACAACACATGGTGTCTAACTTAGTCTTTACTAAACAGTTCTAATAGAGGTAATAAGTATATAAAGTCCGCAGACAACCTGTATTATACGTAATAATTCTCCACATGCTCCTGTGCTAAAAATAGTGCCAAGCGACTTTTAATACAATAAATAATAATAATAATAAAAAACCGGGGCGGGACACTTTGAGAGGGGCGAGACAGGCCCTAGGGAGTTATGGTATAAAACTTTATTGCAAAAGCTCAAAAGCTTCTTGAGATATCGCCCG